AGTAAGATCAGAAATATTACTACAGGTCCATGCCTCAGTTATCATAATAAGTGATGGTTGACAGATAGTAGCAAACATGACTAGATCTGTCTTTTTATTACAGATTGAACGAGCATTAATAAGACATATATTAAACAGATGTCCCGCTAAGCTAAAATAGTTTAGGGTATCTTGGGTAAAGGAGTTACTATGATCTACGTGAGTGTGGTATGAGGAGTTTGGGGGGGACATGCTAAGTAAATTACTGGAATTTACAGGAGGGGTTGTTAGCCCGGGGGAAAGGGGGAGAATGTTGTCTGTTTGAGATTGTGCGAGGAGCATGCTTTTATATTCTGTATGTGGTATGAAATGACTTGAGCTATATGTCGCGCAAGAGGTACCACAAGTGGCTGTATCCCGAAAAAATTTTGATTCGGCTGGAATTGCAGTTCACCACCGTTTCTAGTAATGTCTTGATGACACAGCTCGTTACTAAGGTTAAATTTATACGGAATGGTTTTAACTTGGGGAGGGTTAGCCATATACGAGTGCCAGTTGCTATGGGCTTTTCTAAATTTGGGGGTCATGTTTACCAGCTGGTTTTGTAGAGCAGGATGCATAGAGTTTTCATTCTCAGAGCTTTTGCGGATAAAAGGCAGGGTATTTAGGATAGGGTGAGGGGTGAAAAATCTTCCATTTCTTCTTTCACTAATAATTCTAGGATTAGGTGGTTGGGCAGTGCACCTAGCTCTTGGATAATAATTATTAGTACGCATGTTCAGATGTTGGTCTGACCTGTTCATAATATTATCAGTCTTACAACTTGGAGAGGCTAGGGGCACATCACATGACATTAAAGGAGTGAACCTGTTCATCGTAGTTGGGAAAGTCGGTGGCAATCGGGTTTGAATCCTACCTACTTTTTTACTTGAGACCCAAGATTTAATCAGCTCACTCTTCTTAGTTAAAGACGGAGAATGTTTCGGTCCCCTGGACGTGTTTTTCAAAATCACGTCAGCTTCTATCATATTCTCTCGTGCAATATATTTTGGGGATGGATTCTTAATTTTATTAGTTTTAGCTGGAACTGTGTTGTTTTTTGGGACATATTCACTCAAGTTAACGTTCGAACAGCTGGGATTAGGACTGCAAGGGTCATTCGATTTCTTGGTGATAGAGGGGATCCGTACTTTGTTAGAAGGTTTACAGTCCACAGGCTTATCAAGATCTACATCGTGGTTTATTTGTTTATTTACTTTCATGACATTGGGGGTTGTTTTCTGTAGACTGTTTGCTGTCTCACCGTTATGTGATCTAGTCGCCTCTCTTGTTTTTACTCGACGTTGACAAGGCGTTAGATCCGGGGTAACCTTTACTTCTTTGTATAAAGTTGATAAGCTAATATTTTTGCTCAAACGGATAAATTTTTTGGCGTCGTTGCAGCAGCCGAATTTGAAAAGGAGAGGGCAAGTTGACTTGTCCGATTTTTTTCTGAGGCGTGTGACGTGACAGCTGACGTTTGCCATGTCACACGCTTTTAGACAGTTATCCTTTAGCGAATTCAAGGATGTGCGGTCGGGGAGGTTATATGCAATCGCATTGCAGGAAGACATTATTCTTTTCGTAACTTCCTCGGCTACGAAATCTAGGATATGTTCCGCTTTGGCTAATTCTTCTAGGTTCCTATCATTATTTGGGGCCCATAAGTGCATGAGGGGTGCTAACAGGTTAAGCTTATCGTTAATCTGGGCAAGTGAGTTTTCAAACTGTTGTATCTCGCTGCCGTGGTTATTACTACTATTAACGGTTTCGGGTGGAGCATTCAACTCCTTGGTTTGTGAATTTCCTGATTTAGGCTTTACAAGATTATGGTGAAGTTTTTTCTGTGTAGACGTTTCGGTATATTTGGGTATAGTATCTCTTATATCTACGAGTTTCACTATTGGATTACTTAGTGAAGATTCATCTGACATAGGGTTTGCAGATTTTGATCTTTTAGATGGTTTAAAAGTTGGAGACATTTCTCTTTTACTCGAATTATTTGTCATAATGGAAAATTAGGTGGGATGATTGCTTGTCTAAGTAACTCAAATATCTAAGGGTATAACTTATTGTGTATTAACTGTGTTAATACCAAAAATCAGTGGCGGATTTTTAAGATAAGAGGTTCAGTTATGAAGTGCAAGAGTCACTGTAAGTAGGCTTAAACTAGTGTATTCAGAAGTTAAAATCATTATCAAACGATAAGTATGTATTAACTGATTAAAAACTTAGGAGGTTTGCTTTCTAGAAGCAAAGTGCACCGGGTACAATAGATAAATTCTACTAAATCAGTGTAATACCCTACGAATGATAAATTTCAGAAAAACACTATACCACGTGAGAAAAAGTTACCACTTTCAGAGTTCGCGCCTTCTGATCTGTATATATGTTGTTTAAATTTGATATTTAATACGGCTACAGCCATATTTGGATTGATACGGTAGCTGTTTGACTTAACGTCACTTATTTATCTTTGTTTCGGATACTCTTCGGAGTAATTGTAACCTGGAAGGTGCATTAATTCCAGGTACTGCTTTGTATTTCCATCTTTTTATTAATAAAGACCGTTTTCTCCTAGAATTTTTGCTTTTTCTGGACTTTGAATTGGGAGATACGCGTTCGGAGTGCACTTATTGGAACCCATTGGAACTGCCACCGTAGAAATCCATTTACAACAACAATCCTAGATATTAGCAGCTGTCACATTACCAGGCCGAAGGTCAGTTAGTTGCAATGTTAGGAATAATATAGAGAAAATCATAACGGTAATTTTAAGACGATTGTCTCGAAAACAAGCAAATAATTGAAAAAATAGGGTAATTAATTATGTTACAGATGGTTTGAGATGAGCAAAGTGTAAGGATGAATGAATGCAACGAAGATGATAATGAATAATTCTGAAGACGTTCGACACTGATGATGACCTCATTAGTTTTACTGGACACACCTTATTCCTGACTTCTCTTCTGGCTTGGCTTTGCGTATTTTCGATCTAAAAAGTCCATCGGACAATAGCGTGGTCCAGCTCTGAATACCAAGGACATGTTCCCTGGCGAGCATAATATGAACTAATACACTCAATCAAATATTGTTTGTTTCTTGTCATAACGTCAGATTTATTCGAATACTTTTTCATGTCGAGATACTATTTTTGTTTTTTAATTTCCGCCCCGAAACTTCCAACCTATGATGCTCTGGCCTGACATTACTGAAGCCTGGTTCTGATGTACGTAGTCTGATTTCCAAAAACAACGTGACAGATTCATCTGAGCGATTCCTCGCTGTGGTAGAGGCATTACCGCCTGAGCTGAACAGGTACATTGGATGTTTCTGGGTCTTTCGACGCCACAGAGAAAGAGATTTCTAAATCTTTAGGCAAAACTGACTAACGAAGTTCAGACGAACTTTTCTACAACATTGAATTTCGACAACGCTTGGCAACAGAAATGTTGCTACGTGCGAGGTCATTCGTTATATCGTCTTACCCAAACCTCCCCATCGAGCGCAAGTTGTACTTGTCTCATCTCAAAATAATCAACGGGGTGAACTAGCATCTGCTGATCAGACTATGAAGATCGGCAGCACCTCCATCTCCGAAGTTTGTGGAGTCGACTCGGAACGAGATCACATAACTTTTCAACACAATAATGCTCCCTCTAAAAATCTAGCAGAATCGTGACAGATCAAAACTCTCTCAGTGAAGTCGATCTCTAAAACCACCTGTTTTCAGACTGTGAGAAAACCTGGAAAGGTTTTAGTATTGAAACACATGCGGCAACTCTATCAAAGAGTGCAGGAAAACCGGTAGTTCCATTCTCCACAAGTCTTCCGCCAAATTCAATCCTGGAAACCTTCGCTTTGACAACAGTTAACGTCAATAATAACCGTTTGATTAGACCGCCTTCTTTATGTTACTCATGTGATGACGAAGGTGTGATGGTTCGTCAACGCTGTTGCAGACGTGTGCGTCCTTCTAGCGACCTTCAAAAAATAGAGCGGCAGTCCACTCTAGACAACTCACATATTTGTGGGTGAAGAAAATTTAGTTTCAGACGTCTTGCCTTGTATAAACTCCTCGAACAATTTCCTAGGGATTGACACTATTATTACCCTAGGAACTTCTAGTTTCGATTCTGTCTATTTATTTCTGGGCTGAATGTAAGTGCATTTTGTGTGCTTAATGAATCGTCGGCTCACCTTTTTCTCTTTTTCTTTCCTCTTCCAGACAACCTTCATACACCGCTCCACCGTAACCTCAATTACACAAGGTAACTCCTGGCTTAATGCGAACTAACCAAAGACCAAAGTTACAATCTGACCCTCAGAATGAGTAGTCATTAACAACCGTGTAACTACAAATCAAACAGATAATAATAATTTATTCTCAAATAACTAAGTTACAAGAGTCACGCCAGTTTACAGGCTAGATCAAATTGTCACAAATGCTTTTACAATTACTGTAAAAGTTATAGCAGTTAAATTAAGTACAAGAGTCAGTTTCTGATTGCATATTTACACCATATCACTGACAGAAACAGTATTATACAGCCACATTTTCAATATTAGAGTACAAATGAGGAAGGTGCACAATAGGTTCTATTGGCGATTGGCCGAGATCAATAGTGAATTTGTTGGGAAAGGTCATATGGAACGCGCTTGATACGAGCTGTGATCCAGACAGTCATGTACATTGGGTGCATGTTCCCTAGAGTTGCCAAGGATTTCCCACCGTGAATGGGGTTCTGAAAAGGAGAAGAGAGAGAGGAAAAGGCAGCAGTGTGGCAATTGTATATATATAACCAAAGCACTACTTAACCTGTCATGTTAAAGTAGTCAATACAGTAGTAAGTCAAGATAACATTCATACTGACCACTTAAATTAAAGTAAATTATGGGAATATAAGAATATAACGCACAGATAAAGGAGTACAGCAAAAAGAAGGGAGAGTTGTGCAGTGTCAGGTGGATAGAAGAGAAGTCGAAGTAAGAAGCTGGATTTATGTACGTTGAAATCGAAATTCTAGTTAAAAGAGTAGAGTTTGTAAAAATAAATATTTGACGAATAAAATCTCGCACTGTCTAACTGTTTTTTTTCTTTATTATTGAATGCCAACCTCTAAGTCATACTGTTAGCGCCTGAGTAAGAATGTTGCAGGTGTCTCGACAGAATAGCGACCTCAGCATAGTTTTGGAAACATGAACCACAGAAGTAGCAAGCGTATAAGAGCAACCTCAGTGTTACTGATTAGTCGTCTCATCAATCTAAAGAGCCGAAAGCAAACAAAATGTTCTGCCCCACAAACATGGGTTGTTTGAAGTTATCGCCCATACCATCAATGTTTTCTGGTCAGTAACTCCACCCTCCCTCCTTTTGTGTTGTTAGGCTCATGTTAAATGTTTAAAAGAAGCTATTGAGTTCTACTTGGTGTTCTATGTCTCGCATCCTGTTGAGAAACACTATTTCTGCAAGTTCCTTTCACAAACTGGTCTGGCTATTACAACTTATGAACTATTGGTTAGGCATCAATGCTATACAGTTAACAGTTATGGAGAAATAGTAAGAATTTTCAAACAAGATATAAGCATTTTGAATGTAGTGGGGAAGATGTACTTAACTAGCTAAGCAGGAGATATAAAGAGTATCGCGGTTAAAAGCGGAGCAATAGATAACACTAAGGGGCCAAGGTAAGTCAATAGCGTGTAAGTGAGAATAGTATAATTGATAATAGGCAATGTGAAACTCACACAGTTGTAAGTGTTGATGAGGTTGCGCCCAGGAGAGTAGAGTGCATTCTAATCAACCAGTTTACAGTTGAACAGTGTCGAACGACCCAGTTAGTAGAGTAACCTGTCTATTTCAAATAAAAACTAAAGAGATTTATATTCAACTAGAAAAATTAGTGCTACTTGGGAGTGTAAAAATAACTAAATAAGACGCAGCACTGAGTTCATTGTGTTTAAAGTGTATGCAGAGCTATTAATATGAAAGCAGGGTGCGAGTGAGTTCACGAGCGCAGAAGAGTCAGTGCAACTGAGAGCATCATTAAGAAGTTGAACAAACTCATGTAACCCACTTGCCATGCGTATTTTAGAGGGAAGCCTATTCCATATAAGTGCATACTTAGAGAGGAAGAAGTTTTCTCGAGTTTTGGATCTATACTTCTCAAGTTTGACCGTAGATACTTTATCTCGAAGGTTATGTGTACAAGGGCCATGGATAAGGACTAAACTGCAGGAGGAATATGTGAGCTTGTGCAGGAGTTTAAAGTAAAGGATCAGATTGGACTTAAGCCTTCTTTTCCATGGGAAAAGATAGAAACACTTTACTTTGTGACACATCTACAGGTGGGCATCTTCCATTTATACAGAAACATTATTGACCCGAAGTCTTCAGACGTTGCTCAGACTTCCTCCTCCAGGCGTCCGAGCAGCCATCAAGCTGACAGCTCAACCATTTCACTAGCTTAGAATGAGCAAAGACACGAGGAATGGGCTATGTTTCTGTGTAAGTTGCCAGGAATCTAAGGTAATTAGTCACACTCAATGTTTCTTGGCCGCTTCTCCAACTCCTGATGTTCGCTTCAACCATGTTCGTCTTGACTAGGCAGGACTCTTACCTTATTCAGACAGATAGTCGCACCTCCAAACGTGTGTGAAACGTTTAACATGATAGCCAGAAGCAGTGCCATGAAGGACATTACTTCTGAAACAGTTGTCTGTCTCTGTATCGAACTATGTATGGAAAACGTCCGTCACCCTTCAATTAATAATATAGGCTGAGACTTCCATTTCTAATCTTAACTTTTCAGCTATCTTACCGCAATTCTTGGAATTGCACCATTCTGTATAACAGACTACCATCCTCATGATAACTGTTTAGTAGGACGATTACACCCACAATCGAAGGCCCCACTTTTGGCTGCGAACATGATAAAGTGGAGTGACGTTCTTCCCGTCGTTTTACGCAGAAGTTGCAAGCCAGTTAAACTGGACGTTGGATATACTGAAGCTGAATTCGTTCGTGGTACGACATTTTGACTTCCAGGCGAATTCTAAAATTCTTTATTTGCCACAAAAGAGGTAGATTTAAACTACCATACGAGCAGGCTATGACACTCAGAGAGTTCAATAAGACCTGTTTCTACTTAACCTGCAACAAATGATGTATTGTTCCAACTAGCCTTACGACTGAGTACACACGTTATCGTGTGCACTCAAGAGTGCATATGAATTTCTTCATTTAGCCTTAGTTTCATACTTAATTTAACTGCTATAACTTTTACAGTAATTGTAAAAGCATTTGTGACAATTTGATCTAGCCTGTAAACTGGCGTGACTCTTGTAACTTAGTTATTTGAGAATAAATTATTATTATTATTATTATTATTATTATCTCAGAAAATGATGGGCATATTATTCATTCTCAATCCAGGAGATTGGATCGATTGGCAGACCACTTCAGGGATCAGTTCGACTGGCCTTCAACCACTCTTCGGTTGCCCACGATATCGAGTGATTCAGAATGGCAAATCGACATAAGTCTTCCCAGTCTTTATGAAATTGAGAAAGCCATAGGAAATCTAAAGCGACCGAGGGCTACGGGCCCCGATATATTGACTCCCGAGATTTTTAAGGACGTTTGTCCAGTTTTACCACTGAGTTTGATTGAGATGTTGGGTAGGATCTGGAAACTAGGCGTTATTCCATCTGATTGGTCTCAATCACTGATCGTCTCTGTCTACAAGAAAGGACAAAAGTCGTCCTGTGACAAACACAGAGGAATCAGCCAGACTAATATAATATCTACAATATTGACGTCGATTATATTCCGACGCTTAACGAAAGCTCGTGGAGAGCAGACTAGAGAAAACCTCGCTAGTTTCAGACATGAACTTAACTGTATGGACCATGTTTTTATACTACAACAGGTCCTGGAATACAGACACATATTTAGGCGTCCTACATTAGTCGTCTTCCTGGACCTTAAGGTGGAATTCGACTCCGTGGATCGTGAGGTTCTGTGGCAGTGTCTGTCATTGAAAGCTGTGTTGAAGAAGTACATCAACCTCATATACTCAAACATCACTGATCTGGTGTGAGCCCATGGCGAACTGTCATCGGAATTGTTTACTTTAAGTGGTGTCCATCAGGGATTTTCACTCTCCCTAATCTTGTTTAACTTTGTTGTAAACATGCTTTTAGAGTTAACATTATCCTCGTCAGATATTTTAGGTGTCGACCTTCTACTAGGAGGATTGCTTATTGACCTAGAATATAGTTCTAGAACATAGTTCTGTTCGGTGAAAACGCTGACAAAATTCAGAGTCTTCTGACTACCCTAAGCAACAATGCAAGCATGTTCAGGGTGCAGATCTCACGCTGGAAATGCAAAGTGTTGCTTGAAGACTGGGTTGCATCGGCAACTGAACTAGTGACAGGGAGTGAAGTAGTCGCTACAGTTATATTGAGAGTCTCATCAGTGCTGATGGCCTGGCGACTGACAAACTCTCAGCACTTTTCTAGAAAGATCGATTGGCTTTTTCCTACTTACATAACCTATGGCGTACGCGATGTTAAATCCATTTTGAAGGCTTTGTTTTGAGAAAATCACTCCATCTACATAATTGTAATATATTCCTACATTTTTGGTACTCTGTCAAACCCCATTTTGTGGTGTTGATATTTGCTTTTTATGATACTTCCTATTTTTGTACCTTCATTGGAGTTTCCATGTTTTCTACAGAACTGTATTATGTTGTTTCGATTGATAATTAATTAGCGCATCAGCCATATCGGATTGGACACCCTGGTAGGTGGAACTCACTTCATCATCGTACAGAACATGACGGCGTTTGCTCATTATGTGAGCTGAAATGTTTTTTCCATCGTCGTCACGAATTTCCCCAAAACAATCGTATGTAACTCGTCTTACCTTGCCCTTTTGTGTTATACTCGTATCTTTTCTGTATTTCCTTCTGTCTCTACATGTGACTACTTTCAGTCTTCAGCTCCATTTAAATCACTTGCCGAATTTGAACAACCATACTATAATTACTAAAGTAAATCAAGAACTGAGGGCTTTAGGTCACTTTAGTATGATGGGATATATTTTGTTTTCTTGTACTGTATCCGAGCTTTTTTCGTTTTTTAATAGGATGGATGCACATGGTGAAATGAATAAAGAAGGCGATTCAAATTATCCGAACTCTTACTCTAAGGAAGTTGAGGAAGCACTTTCTCGGCTTAATTTAAAATCGGACAGTTTAGACGATCCTGATTTTAATGTTATTTCTTATATTAATGAAGTTAAGTCATCACAAAATCCTTATAATCTATCTTTTAGAGATTTCCCAGCGAACAGTCACTGGCAAATATAGATGAGTTAATAGCTGAAGCGGAAGATAAAATTCGTGAGTTAGACGATGAAACTAGAGATCTACTACGTGGTCGCTGGCAAACAGAGGATAAAGGACAAGCGACTGTTCAGGATGCGAAACATATGATAAAAGTATTATTCTCTAGGTTTGTTTGGTTTTTATATATATTGGTATATCACATTTCAGTAAATTATTTCATAATCACTAATCCACTTACCAAGTATTGGTTTATGTGCCATACTTTGGACCATATAGTGTGAATATCAGTGATACCACTCACCTGAAATCTAATTAATGACTGTAAACCAAGTGTGTAAACCACTAAGCCATCACTTATATGTTACTCAGTGTTCAATTTCTTCCTCGGTGTTGTACATTAATTCATCCTTTTGCCTTCTTATGCGCATAAAAGAGGCTTTTATGAGGATTTTACTGCCCATTTGTCCCATGATGACTTTTCTAACCAGTGTGGTGTATACCACTTGCGATGTGGCTTATGAGTGGTATATAGCAGTGTCGTCCATAAGTTACTGCTGAAGCGAACAGTATCGGGTGCGGATGTATGGCACGATCAAGGTCTCTTGAAGACTAGACGACAATAATTTGCTTGGATTGAAAATGAGGCCTAAAGATAAGATGTACACATTTTGCTAGTAAACTGCGTCTTACTTCATTACACCAGTATTACTTGAAGTTTAATAGGAAACTGCAAATTCGGAAAGTTATTTGTGCATATGCTAATTCATAGTTGTAGTTACCGGAGTCAGGTAAAACCCGTTTGTTTCCAGATATTATTTGAACGGCACAAACTCAATGTCACCATAATGCTGCTAGGTGGCTTGTTGTGTGTGCGAATTTGTTCTATTCCAGTGAAGCTGTTATTTCTGTCTATGTTTAATCTAAAATGCATCCATTATTGTTCATATCGTCAAACAGAACCTGAATAATACACTTGAAAGTCACTGAAGTCAAAAATATACAACTTCTGATGTGTTAACTGCTTTTAGATCACAAAAATATTGTATGAAAGATTCTCTCACAGTTGGCAGGATTGATCCTATTTTCATCAATCACCGTTAAACCGTATTGTCAAGACTAATCTAGATTGTGTGCGTCGAAATATACTCGTCCAGTGTCTGTTGAACAAGAAAGTTGTCCAGGGATTACTGTAGATCTCCTCAACCTGTTATAGTTTAATTTTTTCCGCCGTAAAACTTCAGGTTCTGAGGAACTCCATGAGGTGTTGTGTATCCACTATTTACAGGAAAACTATTGTCACACCATAATAAAATAGATAAATATGTCTCATCCACATATTTGATCAATGTACGTTAGTATGGTGTGTGGTTCTTACCACATAAGTCTATGGTAGATTTATCAGACTAACGCTAGTTTGTATCTGCACTTCTAAGCAATTAACCATTTGGTAATTGGTAAGTTAATGCACCTGAGCAGTTTCGTTGCATTAACTTACCACGAATTCTAAATGGATACTCTTGTAACTTGATATACTTGTTTGATAACAGAAGAGGTGGAGTAAACTTAATCGGCTTCTAAAACTAGTTTGTGTTTTTGTATTCCTCTGTATTGAACACTTAGCATGCGAAATGAATATCTCAAACAAGAACAGAACAGATTGCTTGATATTATCATAGCATGAAATAACGAGTAATCCTCTAACCACCTCAGTAGTCTTTGTCTTCATATTTTCGCGAAACTAATAACATTTCTAGTTTATATCTGTATTGAGTTTGTATTTTAAGTAAGCCAGTCAGTTACAACGTAGAACTTCTTACGTACGTACATCAATTCAAGTTGCCATGGTATTTTAAATAAAGTATTGAGCTAACTTAGTTTTATGAAGTACAACAAGCATTCCATCTGTTAGTTTTGCCAATAGTTGTCTGTCAAATGATACTATGCGAATCGACTCTATACCGTAAGAATGGGTTCTTGGGATCATATTTTTTGGCTCTAAACCAAACACCAGTAACCTAACATTTACTTAATGTCAAACACGTCTCCACCGTCAATGTTTTTGTCGATGTGTTTATCAATATATTGGTGATGCATCGTAACAATCCTTATTGTCAGCTTTTTATGACTTATTTTACTATCGAGTTTTTATTAGGGTTACTGTAATTAAATCATCTGAAATTCCTCTTTTTATCATTGAAGTCATAAGTCTTTAACTCCTGATATGTTGCCACTGTCTTAAGCCGCATGTTTGGAAAGTTTGTATGTCGATATAGTATACTCCCAACAACATAACTTTTTCGTTTATTCTCCATTCTTCGTTTCTTCGTTACTATTACTTGATCTATACGTCTTCTAGACATCTTAATCAGAATGTGATTTATTTCGTAGTTATGTTGATTGAATTACTTTACACGCAAAGGTGAAATAATATTGTTGCCGTCATTATTATCACTTTTAATTGTTCTACTCTTTGTCTTTAAGCAGAATTTTCAGTAAAAAAGTCATTGTGCACTTCATCTTATAGAATACAGGATGTTCAAGACCGAGCTACCAGATCAGAAGAAATGGTACAAGATATCACTCGGGATATACAGCAGCTTGATCAAGCGAAGCGTAATCTAACTGTTTCCATAACTGCCCTAAATAATTTAATACTTATTGTAAACGCTGTTGATCGTCTAAACGAATTGCTTGGAATACAAAGTCCAGCGAATGACCCAATGTTTCTGTCGAAGGATAATGACACGCATATCAGTACCCTTAATCCATTTCTAGAGCCTGACACAGGTAATTTTGTCACACACTTCATTTCACTAATTATTTGGTACGAGTATTGTTTTTTTCCCCGCTGTATTTAAACATATATATATTAGCAGCGGTCTATGCTCCATTTGAGGTAACAGACGTAATTAGTAAGTAAACAATAAATTCTTGTTTGTGCGACGAACGTTTAATGGAATCTTTAATATAGACTGAAAGCGGTTTTATGTTTGATCAATGAACTCAAATGTTATTGATGCACAGTTTCTCCTGAAACTTTGATGTTGTTGTACACAGTTTTAAGCCCATCAATATCAATGCTAATATAGTTATAGAAATAACGATGACATAATCTAGATAGATAATATTTAAGTGCGCTTTCGTGAAAGGAAGTTCCATTTAATATGAATACGTAGTCTCTTATTTAATTGTGACTACGTTCATTCTGCATAGAATGAGAACTGTTCCATTTACTGGAATGAATCTGCAACTAATAATGTATAGTATGCATCCACGTTTCAAATAACTCTGCTGAAAGATGTCGAATCTGATGTCCAATTATCATATTCGCTTTGACTCCAAACATTTGTTTGTTAGTAGTTTTAGTTGTTGTCCTGAAATTAATCAAATTTATGTATTACAATAATTTGTAAGGATTGTATTCACGTAGTTTCTGCAACATGACTAGAGTCTACATATTCTCATTAAAATG